TCTGTCACTTGATGTCATTTCGCGGAAAATGTCAACTTTGCGGTTGAATTTCAAAGCGCAAAAGTCTACTTTGGATAGTGATCGTAGAAAAATATAATTTTTTTACAAAACTTACATTTTGGGCTTTGGAAAGAGAGTACTATTTAAATATTCCACAGGAAACTCCATAAATTAACGTTTTTCTAAAAAAATTATATATTAAGGGATCATGAGGATCATTAAAAGATTATTTATGTAAACTTATTCATTAGAATTATATTTGTTATGTTCCGTCAATACAAATGAGTGATTTTTCCAAATGTCCAATTAAAATCAACGAAAAAGAAATATAAAAAAGTACCTTCCTTATTTTTTACATAATATTTCCAAACACTTTAAAAAGCAATACTTATATTAATTTATTTCCAGGCACATCCGACTATTTTGATTGAATTGTTGTATTACATAATAATTGAATATTAATATTACATCACACATAAAGTAATAATCAATACTTTTCGAAAACTTTTAAACACAATTACTTTCTGTTATCCAAAAGTTTTTATACGTTCTTGAAACAATGGAATTTATTTGTTTGACAAATGACGTCAGCCTGCCAAACTTAAGGACTTATCAACTAAACATGATAGCTGAATTAGTTCAATTTATTCTTGGTTTTTTAAATTACGACGTTTAACATTTTTTATTTCTTAAATAAAAAGCATTTCAGATATTCAGAAGATCATTTTGACCTAGAAAGATAATTGCATCTGAAAATAATAGGAGTAAATAAATAGGTAAGTAGTAGGCAGTATGCCTATGTTATCTAAACCTACACCATAAGAGCACAGTACGCTAATTCACTCACTTACTAACCACTACAGAAGAGAGCGAGCGAATCGAGCGCTTTGTATACCTACACCATAAGAACAGGGTACGCTAACCCACCTACTTACTAATCACTACAGAAAGAAGCGAGCGAAGTGAGGGCGCCCTGCCGACGTTTCAAAATTCGCGCGAATTTCGAAACGTCGGCCGGGCGCGTCATTTTTACATTAACCCCATATGAGCATGGTACGCTAACCCACTCACTTACTAAACACTACAGAAGAGATCGAGCGAAGCAAGCGCAACCGGCTGTCGTTTCGAAATTCGCGCGCGTGAACTTAGAAACGTCGGCCGGGCGCACCCTTTTTACTCCTAAGCCATAAGAGCGCACTACGCTCGTTCCACCTGCATCGTTCCACAAGTATAGGAAAGAGCAAGCCTTGGAGCTAGCGAAGCGAACGCACCCTTTCTACATCTCTCTGGCTTCACCAATGAACTGGAGTGGGGTAGAAAGCTAATGTTCATATTGTATCAATTGAACAAGATGCGACTCTATGGGCGCAGCCATTTTTATTTCTCATCTCACTTGGGAGTATTTATAATAACCATTTTCTGTTTCACATTGTTATTGTTCAATCCACAGGCTGGTGGATCAGACAATAACAAAGTGAAATATAAAATGGTCGTTATAAATACTCCCGAGTGAGATGAAAAATAACCTATCTTCGCCCATAGAGTCGCATCTCAAGCCTATTGTCAAGCATTCTACCCCACTCCAGTTCATTGGGCTTCACTCATTAGGTTCTTTCGTTCGCTGTTAGTGCAGTGTGCACCAATGTCAATTACACCACCTTATCTCCTTAGTTCACTTCCTCTTATAAACACGTCGAATGTAATTCACTCCTGCTAAATAGCCGTTGTGTTAAACGAAGTTTGACATTTTTACATTAACAATGTCATTTTAATCTCCGTTTAACACAACGGTAGAATCGACCCTAAGTGAAATATAATTTATCATTTGGGACTTTTTAAATTTTATTGTTGGACTGATTTAAAATTAAAAAAAAATCATAAATATGTGGTAGTTGTAAACTTTCATCAAGACCGGAAAATGTTTTGTGCAATTTTATCGCAAGACCTTTTGATGATCTAAGAGATGGTGCCTATAGACAGCTCGCAGTGACGTTATATATCAACCAGTAGACGTTTTAAAGAGCTGAGAGGCAGGTCTTGAATTCCCCTGAAGGATGCACAATGGGCCTATTGGGGCCTAAGTGACATAAAGAGTCACCCTTCCTTACATTTACAGATCGACAAAAATAGTATACCATTTGCCGAAATCTTACTTCATTCCTAAATCAAACCATTAGAGAAAATAATATATTTATTTAGTTCTGATATCTATTATTCCATCAATAAATATACCTTCCATTAATTTTTTGTTTAATTAAAATATCTATTATCCAGGGTCCATAATATTTCTTTCTTAGCAACTAGTTGTTACGCTTAACCATCAAGAATATTTGGTTGCTTCCAAATAACTTCGAATCCACTTTTGTAACCACTAGTTGTTATAGATTGTACTTAGAGAATTCTGATTTTCTCAAAGTGGTAATACAACAACTGACCTTGATCATAGCAACTTTTGGTCGGTAGCATAACTGTATGATACAGCATAGACTAATTTAGAAATCGTGAATACTAGAATAGCTACTTTTGTCAAAGTTGTTATACAGGGTGTTATTGAAATACACGTACATATTAAAATGGGGAATAGTATGTAATGACCAGAAACGATTGGCACCAATTTTAACTTCAAATTCTAAAATTTAAATATTGGGGAAGAGTCCCCTTTTCCGACCTACTAGTTTCCATATTTAAAGAAGTAAAATAAATCGAAATTGAACTTACCCATAGAAATTGCACTGTTGCCGTAGCAAAACCAATTAATTCAAAATAAAGTTTATTACAGTAATTGTTCAAAATGCCGTCCATTATTATTTACACACACTTGCAATCGTCTTTCCAAAGAACTTTGAACATTAGAAATTAGTCTTGGATTTTGTCGTAGTTCCTCGGCTACCGCATTAACTTTATTGGTTAATTGTTTAACACTATTAATAGGTTCATTATAAACCAGTTGTTTCATGTGACCCCACAAAAAGAAATCGCATGGATTTAAGTCCGGAGATCTCGGAGGCTACTTAGTAGGTCCATTTCTGCCTATCCACTTTTGAGGAAATCTAATGTTCAAAAACTGCCGTACGTTTAAATCAAAGTGAGGAGGAGCGCCATCTAGTAGGTACCACATCCGTTGCCTTAATTGTAACGGTATCTCTTCTAGGAGTACTGGCAAAATATCTTCTAAAAAGTGGAGATATCCTGGCCCATTTAATCTGTTCGGGAGAACATAAGGCCCGATTAAATACTGATCTATTATGCCAGCCCAAACATTTATTGAAAATTTTCTTTGATGCCCAGTTTCCCTAATGGCGTGAGGATTTTCATCACTCCAAATATGCGTATTGTGCATATTGAACACGCCATCACGAGTGAATGAAGCCTCGTCAGTATACAATAATATTTTTAGAAAATCAGGAATATCAACACATTTTTGAATCATCCATTCACAAAACTCCACTCTCTTTTCTTCATCAGCTGGATATAAGGCCTGGACTTTTTGGATGTGATAAGGATGTAAACCTTGTTCTTTAAGTGTCCGCCACACAACAAATGAGGACACTCCAATTTCAAGACCTAGTCTTCTACAACTTAATTGAGGCCGGTTTTCAACAGCTTCCAATATTTCTTCTTCGGCCGCCAATGTTCTTTGTGTTCTTGTTCTCCCTCGATCTGCATTGACACTCTCAAATTTTCCATGGTCTCTTAGATGCTGAACAGTTGAAATAAACGTACGACAGTCCGGAATTCTCCGATTTGGAAACCGTTCGCGATACAGGATTTGTGCTTGTCGAGAATTTTCTCCAGCTGCCCCATAAACCAGCACTATATCCGTTAGTTCAATATTCGTAAATAGTGGCATCGTAAAAAAATATTTAAAAGTAATCGTAACAACACTTTTTACCAACTTGGAAATGACGCGCTCGTGTTAGCCAGATTCGTAAATCAACTAAAATTTTAATAATCTATAGTTTCAAAAATGTATAGTTTAAAAACAATCATTTATCAAATATTCTAGTTTTTTGATAACGAGGGTAGTAAAAACCAGTCTTCGGAAATAGAAATTAATTCGAAAATCTTGGCAACATGGTTATTTCTTACAAGACTAGTTTTCTTATCATCTGACAAAAACTTGCATATTAATTACTGTTGATGTTTAAAATAGGTAAATAAACCTAATTTATATAGGTCATCCTCAACATATCAGTGAAGTACGTTTGTTTTAGAATTAATTTTCAAAAAATAATAACTCCCTTAATAAGGGGTATTTTTAAAAAATAATATTTTTCTACATTCAGTGGGGATCTGCGCAATACCCAGTTTTAATATGTACGTGTATTTCAATAACACCCTGTATACAGTTGCTATGAAAGTGGTAAGATAGCAAGTGGTTAGAAAGTTGCCAAATAACAACTATAGTTACAGAATAGACCCCATAGAGACAATAATAAATATTTAATCCACAACTGACAACACAATTATTGCTATTAAATACAAACTTGGATATCACACACAGTGATTTTAAATTCAACAACGTGGCAACGTTGCAAACTCAACCACCGACAGATAAATCCACTTTGTTTTATGTTTTGTGGAAGGAAATAATAATAAAAGTTAGGTTAAATGGTCAAAATATTGCATTTAATTATAATCTAAATGAAAATATCGGAACAAAAAATAATGATCCATACTTAATTTTACTTAAAATATTATAAAAAAATTGTTACTTCAATAAACTAGTGCCAAAATTTTGAAATTCGCACCTCCGGATAGTAGGATGAAACCCAAAAGAAGGATAAAACTATGTTCCTCTGGGATATTGAATTTTGTTAAAAAAAAAAACTGAAAATCATCTCCCAGACAAACATAGATACAATATACTTGATGTTTTGTTTCTCAAAAAAGTAGTAAACGGATGAGTGCCAAGATCGCAAGCGATTCCGCACCAAAAATGAAGCGTAAATCATCTTCTTGACAAAACAGAAATATTAAAATGCAAAAAAATATCTTACCAAATTGTACTTATTTTACCTTACGTTGAAATGCCTTGTCCACCTTGTATATACCTACATCGTAAAAAAATACTAAAGATTAGATATTTCTCAATTCTTTTATCAGAAGGTTATCCTCGCCTTCGGTTTATTTTCAATTATCTTTGTTTCGAAAACACAAATCACCTTGAAAACCAGTCGTTTCTAGTTATAAAAAATATAGTTGTCAACAAAAGCAAAACATTAAGTGGGTGTCATGTTATGACATTGAAAAAAATGTATACAGAGTTTTATAACCAATTTATTCCATAAAAAAAATTATAAAACACTTTCATCAAATCAAAATTAATTATTCCAAATGCGATTGATACCCTTTAAAGTTTTTATTTGGGTTTTTAAAGTTGTTAAAGCATAGAAAAATTATAAAAAAATTCAAATCATTAAACCATCTGCGGGAATCTTTTCAGTCTCGTAGTTTATTCACCTTTGCATGAGTCCTGTTGGATCACGCAGCTTGCTTCTTCTTGTTGGCCTCTAAATTCATCAACTTGGTCGCTATTTTTCTAGAGTGGCCTGAGGGATCGAAATGGTTGGTGTGTTCACTGGCCTCTTTTTTCGTTCTTTGTTTACCACCGCTGTGACCGCTGTAGATTTGCTTCTCATATTCGAAATTATAATGTTCGTATTCGTCGAAATGGCTTTCTGACATTTTTACTGAGTTTTTTGACACTTTATTATCACGATAATTTGCTAGGATACGATTCGATTGATCGAGTTACGACTATTAAACAGTTTTGTTTCTATAACGACTTGCGAGTTCAGACTATACACTGGTTTGGTAGCTTCACGTACCGGTTATTTATATCTTTCTATCAGCTGACGTCAGGTTATTCAACCAGATAATGAACTAAAGATTGTTTTGGTTTTAGTCTGTCTTTTTTTGTAATTATTATGATAATAGGATTTAAAATAATACAGAATGTTCTAAGGTTATAATATGATTACTTTGTAAAGAATGTAAAGTGATGATTATCGCGCGAATAAGCTTACAGAAGTTTTTTTTTAATAAGAAGGCCATTCCAGATGAATATTCTACTTTATTAGGTTTGAGTGGTTTGACGAATATTTAGATTGAGACTAATATAATTAATATTCAATTTATACCAACTATTATTCTTTAATTTTACAGGATGTCCCAACAAAATCAAAAAATAAAATTACAGTTTTTTAATAATAACATTCCTATAGGAATTACCTATATGAAGTTTTTTAATAATAACATTCCTATAGGAATTACCTATGACCAGCGCCGGTCAGTGTCCAGTACCGAATAGTTCCGGGTCGGTTACACAGTTAAGCAGTAGATTTCCGAAAAAAAAAAAAAACAGTAGATTAAGAAAAATAACAGTAGAATCAAAAATAAACCATTTAATTTTTAAATTGATAGTTTTTATAAACATAAAGATACATCCAAATAAAAATAAACGAAAAACTTTATTCCTACTCAGAATCAGATAATTCTGTTAACTTTTCGTACATTTGCTAATTATGTAGAGCTAATATATTTTTATTAAACTCAACCGAGAAACAGTGTTTTCCTTGAGAAGTAATAAAGTTTTTTGTGTGTAAATTACCTGAAATATTTGCTGTTATACAAGCTTGTTTCTCTGTTGAGTTTTAAGAAGATTGACATTTGAAAACTAGTAATATCAAAAATAGTATTGAAAAATAAGAAAAACATCGCATAGAAACAGAACACAAGCTACTACGGTACGGTTCTATGCGGTGATTCCCAAAATCGAATCGACAGAATCTCCGTATGTATCGAGGATGCCGCTATCTATTAGATTTTTCAATAACTTGAATATTTTTAGTGCGTTCGAAAAATTTCTGGACGTCACGTTGCAGAAGTTCGTTATGATCTCATTAAGATCGCCTATTTCCTAATCCATTTTATCTTGTTTCATAATTTTAAACAAGTTTAAGGATATTTTTTCACGTTTTTGTTCAAGTTCGCCAAACTCAATTATAACAGTAGAACTTACCTTCTAGAAAGTAGAACAGTAGCCAAAGTCGAAAAACAGTAGATCTACTGCAAAAACAGTAGATCTGGTAACACTGGTTCCGGGGTGATCGACTCATTCCTACAGGGTGGCGAAGCGGGGGCCAACGGGCGAAGGGGCGCCCAAATCTCTGTGGAGGGCTCCAATGGTGCTTTTAACGCAAAGGGTGGGGGGAGGCGTCGTCCTGCCTGGCCCCCTAGTATACGCGACGCAACTGTTTCTACATTGAATAAGATCATATCTCTAATTTACTTAATTCGTGCATCACATATATTGAGTGCTTTCTTTTATGTCATCTGGGTTACTTACCCACGAGCAGTACTAGACTTATTCTTGTTTCTAAATGAACGGTATTCTTTAATGGTGCTTGTTAATCTGGAGCAACTCATACGTTTCTCCATTCTCCCCTCAAGCACTTGCCCTTTGTCCGTTGTAGACCGTTATCAGTCGGTCTTTTTTGACGTCATAGGGTTTCGAACACCAAGAACGTTAAACCAAATAGTACAAAATATAACTATAAAAGAGAAGTCACTCGCGGCATTTACAAAATAAATCGCGCTTCAAATGCGGGCCAACAAGTCGGCGTTTTTTCAAAGAGTACAGAGCTAATTGGGCTATACCGGGGTTAAGCGGTAAGACGCGGCGGCGATGATAGTGGAATGTAACGGTCAATACACAGCGGAATCTAACGTAGCGGAGCAAACGAGCCTTACGCATTGAACTACACCGGTATACTGCCGATCGAGAAAGGACGGTGGAGGACTGGCGGCTGATCGCGTTAGAAGGCGGTAATTGGGCGAGTGACTCCTCTTTTATAACTATATTTTGTACTCTTTGGTTAAACCCTTAAAAACAAAGCTTTCATACAGTCAGCTCGCTGCCACATGTCATCTTTTCTTTTCGAGATATTAGTGAATAAGTGCATAAGTCGTGGTTTTTTATTTCCTCTACTAACTTTCATATAATTTTTTTGTTATATAGAAGTGAGATTAATAATTTTTTGATAGGTTACCTAAACTTTTACGTCATTTGCGGATATGTTAATACCTAGCCTAAAATTAGTCAAATTATTAGTAAATATTTGAAATAGCAGTGGTGCATAAATGCTTTAGAGCTGCAGAACTGCAAAAAAATGGATATTTCTATTAAATTTAATTTAATTTTAAATATTAAATAGTAAACAGTGTGTGTACTGCACCGCTTAGGCCGCCGCTCATTGTTTTCTTAAGTTGTTCAAGTAGTCCCGATAGGCATATGCCTGTCAGAAAGATTAATTAACAAGTTTGCTAACAGCGAAACTTTCTTATCAAAAATAAAAAAGGTTTATTAAACAGTTCTACTTTAAAAATTTTCAATACAATTTATTTTTATTTTATATCAAAATACTTTTTTGTTGCAAACATGTTAATTATTCTTTTTGGCAGGCATATGCCTATCAAGACTTCTAGAACAACTATGAGCGCGGGCGGTCCAAGAGGTGCAGTGCACATACACTATTTACTATTTAATAATTTAAATTAAATTAAAGTTAATGATATTCTCCATTAAATTTATTTTACGTAAATTTTAGAATGTCTTTTGTGTACTAGCCGCCACTGGTAAATAGCATCTAACCTCTTACAGTGATCCAATACCGGACACTACTACTATTCTCTTCACCATACATTAATTTACTGTATTTTGCATTTTAATACATATCTAGTAGTTTTTAAATGGGAAGGTTTCCAAACCTTTTTACTTCCTTTGATAAAAGGGGAATTATTGTAATCGTGAAAAGTCACACTTCGAGATTATTCCGGATCTTCACGATTCAGGGTCTATAGATTACAAAAAACATGTTCCCGCATTCCGTCGGTCTGTCTATCGTCGTTTGTCGTCGTCTGTCGTCGTCTGTCGTCGTCTGTCGTCGTCTGTCGTCGTCTGTCGTCGTCTGTGGTCGTCTGTCGTCGTCTGTCGTTGTCTGTAGTCGTCTGTCGTCGTCTGTCGTCGTCTGTCGTCGTCTGTCGTCGTCTGTCGTCGTCTGTCGTCGTCTGTCGTCGTCTGTCGTCGTCTGTCGTCGTCTGTCGTCGTCTGTCGTCGTCTGTCGTCGTCTGTCGTCGTCTGTCGTCGTCTGTCGTCGTCTGTCGTTGTCTGTCGTCGTCTGTCGTCGTCTGTCGTCGTCTGTCGTCGTCTGTCGTCGTCTGTCGTCGTCTGTCGTCGTCTGTCATCGTCTGTCGTCGTCTGTCGTCGTCTGTCGTCGTCTGTCGTCGTCTGTCGTCGTCTGTCGTCGTCTGTCGTCGTCTGTCGTCGTCTGTCGTCGTCTGTCGTCGTCTGTCGTCGTCTGTCGTCGTCTGTCGTCGTCTGTCGTCGTCTGTCGTCGTCTGTCGTCGTCTGTCGTCGTCTGTCGTCGTCTGTGGTCGTCTGTCGTCGTCTGTCGTCGTCTGTAGTCGTCTGTCGTCGTCTGTCGTCGTCTGTCGTCGTCTGTCGTCGTCTGTCGTCGTCTGTCGTCGTCTGTCGTCGTCTGTCGTCGTCTGTCGTCGTCTGTCGTCGTCTGTCGTCGTCTGTCGTCGTCTGTCGTCGTCTGTCGTCGTTTGTCGTCGTCTGTCGTCGTCTGTCGTCGTCTGTCGTCGTCTGTCGTCGTCTGTCGTCGTCTGTCGTCGTCTGTCGTCGTCTGTCGTCGTCTGTCGTCGTCTGTCGTCGTCTGTCGTCGTCTGTCGTCGTCTGTCGTCGTCTGTCGTCGTCTGTCGTCGTCTGTCGTCGTCTGTCGTCGTCTGTCGTCGTCTGTCGTCGTCTGTTGTCGTCTGTCGTCGTCTGTCGTCGTCTGTCGTCGTCTGTCGTCGTCTGTCGTCGTCTGTCGTCGACTGTCGTCGATTGTCGTCGTCTGTCATCGTCTGTCGTCGTCTGTCGTCGTCTGTCGTGGGATTTTAAACTAAATCCTTACAGATGACACTTCCTGATAGTTCTGTCTGTCCAGGGAGGTTTATATCATATGCACAATATGCCAACCCGTTTACTACGCACACCACCCGGCGCTTGGGTGCTCTGAAATCCCTTTTACAATAACCAAATTGTATTAAAATGTAAAGCACATTGAATAATTTAATAACATCTCGCTTGGTAACACAAAAAAGTATTAATACAACAATTTTAATTTATATATTACAACAAATTAAAAAAGCATGCCTTCACTTAGTTATTTGTACAATGTTAACCTGTCTTTATATCCGCTGCATGTCTGCTGGCTCCCCCGTGTGCCCGCCACCACAGTGACAGGTGCACGCTATCAACAAGTAAACGAAAAAAAAAAAAAACAATATGGTTATGGTTGCTTACAAAAACAAAAGAATGAAAGTATTTTTATTTGTTTAAGTATTATATATATGTTATTTAGGATTATTTAAAATTAAGGTTTTTGATGCTTTAACGAGTCTTTACCAGGGAAAAATTCATTATAAATACATAATTTCCAATTGTAGTAGTAAATTTTATATGTCCATTTCAAACGTAAATTTTAAGAACCAATATTTTTTAAATTTTCCTTCTGCTATTGATCAAAGAAAGAAATGGTGCCACGTTTTAAAACTTTCCACTTGAAACCAATCATAAATTATGAGATAATTTTGATACAAAATCTATTACAAATAAATCGTTCAAGAGTAAGACTGCTAAGATTTGCTTTGCCTTTAGCACCCTCAAAAACCAGATACACCAAAGATAATAGTGCTTAGTAATGTTATTAGCAAACAGATTACCTGTGTTACATTTTAATAATATAGACCAAAATTTTAAAGACGATCAGTCATCAAATGAATTCGAATATTACCTAAGAAACAACATTTCGATAATGGATTTTTAAATAAAATTAATGAAACTCCAGTTAATCTCATAAAAAGAAAAAAAAACTATATTTTTTAATAGAAAAAAAAAAAAAAGTTAGTTTGCAAATAAAAAAAAAGCCCTATAATTAATTTCTAATATAACATTTAAACTGCAGTCAACATTTCAGAATCAAAGATATTTCAACAATTTAATTCGAAACTATTATAATGATAGTAGGTTTGTTCGGATTTCTTTAAAACTCTATGTAA